GGCTCTAAATGTAGGCTAAACACAATCGGTTTATATCATAAGGTAAATTTTTGAATATATTTGGAAGAAATGGCCAGGAGTAACAATAGAGAAGACTCTTTTATTGTTAGGGTCCAAATACTTGTTTTCTATCTTCAGGTACTTATTTGAAAATCAAGGTTAAAGATTAAAACCTTCCAAATATAAAATAAAACCTCAACTAGCCACTTAGGATCAGCTGCTAGTAAAACATGTAAAACAAAGAGGTTACTCGACATTCCGGTAGTGTCACTGATGGCAGCAGCAGGTTGTCTAGAGCAGCTGCTGCAAAGACATTGGCTCCAATAGGGGAGGTGCAGCCAGGGCTGCATGTTCCACAGAGCCCAAAGAAGTTGGGAACAGGTGGAAGCCACACCCACTTCCAAGCTGGCAGGGCTGGAGCCCCACCCTCCTGAGTGCAGCTGCAGCCACCCAGCCATGGCTGTGGACCTAGGTATCCCTGCACTCTCTGGGGCCTGGGAAGTCCCCTTTTCCCCTGCAGGCTCAGAAGTGCCTGCTCCCGTGCCTGGCCTCTCCTCAATCCCAGCACCTGCTCCGAGGTGATAATGTTAATGTGGGTAAGTCATTTTCAACTTTCACTATGAATTTGTATTCAAAGTTGGGAAAGCAATTATAGATGACAGAATGAAAACATCAACCTTAAAAACACAGTTAATAGAAGTAAGGAGATAGAAAGATGGAAGAAGTAGCAGAGGAAAGACTAGTGGCACGAGTAATCTCATTCTCCATGAGAAGTCAATGGATTCCATTGAAATTTGGGTTTATCTGTTTTGTTTTGGCTTGGTGTGTGTGTGTATATATATATATGTGTGTGTGTGTGTGTGTGTGTGTGTGTGTATATATGTGTGTGTGTGTGTGTATATATATATATATTTTTTTTTTTTTGAGACAGAGTCTCTCTGCCACCCAGGCTGGAGTGCAATGGTGCAATTTCAGCTCACTGCAACCTCTGCCTCCCGGGTTCAAGCAATTCTCCTGCCTCAGCCACCCGAGTAGCTGGGACTATGGGCGCATGCCAACACACCTGGCTAATTTTTGGTATTTTTAGTAGACACAGGGTTTCGCCATGTTGGCAACGCTTGAACTCCTGACCTCAAGTGATCCACCTGCCTCAGCCTCCAAAAGTGCTGGAAATACAGGTGTAAGCCACCACGCCCAGCCTGAAATTTGACAGAACAAGAAATTTTAAGAAATGTAAGCATAGTATATTATTTAAAAGTACAAGGAACCAAAAGAACTAAAATCATTAATGTAACTGTATACAGTAGTATTTTCTGACTGGGAAAGTGTGTTTTAAAGTTTGTATCTTAATGTCTTAGGATAAAACACATCTCCCAGTTCATCCTAGGCCCCCAACACATTTCCTATTATATTACCATAAGTCAAATTTACACATTTATAAATTCTTGCCTTACCCTTTGACATTTGAGTTTATCCAAATATAGGGGTAATTCCCAGGATATAAAAAAAGTTTCAAAAAAATTATTGTCCCCATAATTACTTATATTTCTATATACTATCAATGAACAATAAGAAAAGGAAAGAAAACAATCCCAATTTACAATAGCATCAAAAATAATAAAATTAAATTTAACCAAAGAAGTGTAAGACTTACGCACTGAAAACCTACTAAACACTGCTAAAATTATTTTAAAAAGACCTAAGGCTGGGCGCAGTGGCTCACGCCTATAATCCCAGCACTTTGGGAGGCCAAGGCAGGCGGATCAGAAGGTCAGGAGTTCGAGATAAGCCTGACCAACATGGTGAAACCCCATCTCTACTAAAAATACAAAAATTAGCCAGGCATGATGGCGCATGCCTGTAATCCCAGCTACTCAGGAGGCTGAGGCAGGGGAATCATTTCAACCCAGGAAATGGAGGTTGCAGTGAGCTGAGATCGTGCCGCTACACTCCAGCCTAGGCGAGCAAGAGTCTGTCTCAAAAAAAAAAAAAAAAGACCTAAATAAATGGAAAGACATTCTGTCTTCATAACTTGGAAGACTTAATAGTGTATTTATCTATATATTCAATGTAATTCCAAGCAAAATTCCAACTGCCTTTTTTACAGAAATGAAAAAGCTATCCCCAAAAATTCATATGGAATTATGAGGGATCTCGAATTAAATAATAATAATAATAATAATAATCTTGAAAAACGAAGTTGGAGGACTTACACTTCCTGACTTCAAAATCTACTACAAAGCTACAGTAATCAACACAGTGTTGTACAGGCCAGGCACAGTGGCTAATGCCTATAATCCCAGCACTTTGGGAGGCCAAGGTGGGAAGACAACTTGGGCCTAGGATCAAGCCAGACTTGAGTCTGAGACCAGCCTGGGCAACATAAGGAGACCCCGTTTATATAAAAAAAATTTTTTAAATAGCTAGGGATGGTGGTACACGCATATAGTCTCAGTTACTTGGGAGGCTGAAATAGAAGGATCACTTGAACCCAGGAGTTCAAGGTTTCAGTGAGCTATGATTGCACCACTGCACCCCAGCCTGGGTGACAGAGCAAGACCCTATCTCCAAAAAAAAACAAAACACACATAGACAAAAACACCAATGTCATACTGGCATAAGGACAGACATATGTATCAATAGAATAGAATGGAGTCCAGAAATTTACCTATGGTCACCTGATTTTGTCAACAGTATCAAGATCACTCAATGGGGAAAAGAATAGTCTCTCCAATAAATGATATTGAGACAATTGGATTTCCGCACGCAAAAGAATAAAGTTGAACCCTTATTTCATACCTTATACAAAAATTAACTCAAAATTGATCAAATGCTTCAATCTAAGATCTTAAACTACAAAACTCTTAGAAGAAAACACAGGCATAAATCTTTGTGATCCTGGATTTAACAACAGATTCTTACATATGACAGCAAAAGCAAAGCATAAGCAACAAAAGAAAAATAAATTGGACATCATCAAAATTTAAAATTTTTGTGCATCAAAGGACACTATCAAAAAATTAAAGTTAATCCCCAGAATGGAAGAAAATGTTTGCAAATCATATGCTAGCTAATAAGGGTCTAGTATCCAGAATATAAAAATAACTTTTACAACTTAACAAAAAGACGACAACCCAATTAAAAAATGGGCAGAGAGCTTCAACATTTTCCCAAAGATATATAAATGTCCAATAAGCATACAAAAAGATGCCAACATCAAAAGTTTTCATTAGAAAAACGCAAATCAAAATCACAAAGAGACATCATTTCACACCCACTCATAGTAAAAAATAAGCTTTGGCAGTAGAGAAACCGGAACCCTTATACACTGCTGGTAGGAATGCAAAACAGTGCAGCTGCTTTGGAAAACAGTTTGGTGGTTTCTCTAGAAGTTAAACACAGAAATATCATGTGACCCAGCAGTTCCACTACTGTGTGTGTACCCAAGAGAAATGAAAACACATTCCAACACAAAAGCTTATACATAAATGTTCATAAGAAGCATTGTTCCTAATAGACAAAAAATGAAAACAACGTAAGTGTCTATCAACCAATGAATGGATAAACAAAATGTGGTATATCCACACAATGGAATATTCCACTATTAAAAGGAATGAAGGACTGATACATGCTACAACATGGATGAACTCTGAAAGCATTACATAAGTAAAATAAGCCCAAACACAAAAGGTCATATATATAAACACAAAAGATCATATATTATTATATGGTTCCATTTATATAAAATGCTCAGAATAGACAAATTCATAGAAAAACAAAGTATACTGGTAGTTCCCAGGATACTGGGCTCGCGGAGGGAATAGTGAATGACTACTTAATGGGTATGGGATTTCATCTTGGGGTGATGAAAATGTCCTGAATTAGATAGTGGTGATGGTTGTAAAACTTTGTGAATATACTGGCAGTCACTGAATTGTATACTTTATAATGGTTAAAATGATCAATTTTATGTGACATAAATTTTACCTCAATTTTTTAAAAAGTAATTATTCTTGGGTACAGAAATCGGGGTGTGTGAGGAGCGGGGCGGTCTTGCTTTCTCATCATTAATCTTTTTTACTACTTAAATTTTCCAGATAGTAGTCCCCCCATTATCTGAGGTAGATGCATTGTAAGATGCCCCATGGGTATCTGAAACTGTGGATAGTACTGAACTATATGCATATACATACATATATACATACACACACACATACGTGCTATGTTTTTCCTACACATACATACCTACACATCATACTATGATAAAGTTCCATTTATAAATTAGGCATAATAACAGATCAACAACAACTAACTAAAAATAGAACAATTATTAAAATATACTGTAATAAACGTTATGTGGACGTGGTATGTATCTCTCTCTCAAAATGTCTTATTATACTGTCCTATGGGTAACTGAGACCTCAGAAAGTGCGAAAAAGGACACAAGAGGGGACTTTTGTACCAAATGGCCTCAAATAGGTAAATAAACAAACTGATTTCTCAGCTAAGTTGAAACATTGGAAGTTACTAATAAAGGGGAAACAACAGAGCTTCATGGCCTCTGAATTATATCCTGGATATTCTCTTGTCTTCTCTAATCATCTTTCTTCTCCCATTATAGCTTCTGAGAGGAAACAAGATTGGGCACATTCAGGGTAGAATGTCTGTAGATTATGATACTATTACGGATGTAGTTCACTGACAGTAGTTTAAAATTTGGGGAATTAAATAATTAGGTAAATTATATAAACTTTTCTCCTTCCAAATAATAAGCAAAAAAGTTTTAAGTAAAAATTTTGCAATGTATATAAGTTTTCCCAAGGAAAATTGTACTCAGTTACTCAATAGTTAATGATAGCACACTTGCTATTACCAGACTTAAATTTCCTGAGTTTTCCTTTAATTGAAGACGTTCGGTGATAAAGTCACTTCTAAAGTTTTCATCCATTTTTCTTCAAATATAAGTTCCACATAGTGCATATGAAGAGTTTAATACTTACTTATCAAGGAAATCTTTGTCCACTACAGCAGAGATGTCAAGCAGAGGATTTCCCATTCCAAAGAGAATATTTTCTCTAAAAAAAAACACAAAATACAAGTTAGAAATACTTCTAAAAGTAAGTTGATATGTAAAAGGTACACAAAATAAAAATAACTATCTTCATTTCAACCTGAAAATAAACCTAACATACCAGTTTATTAAACATTTGATTTGCCTATTATATGTAGGACATTTTAGAGGTAGCATAAAGACATTTAGAAAAAAAGATGATTATCAGAGAAAGATGCAAATCAAAACTACAATGAGACACCATCTCACACCAATCATAATAACTATATATATATATATATTTTTTTTTTTTTTTTGACACGGAGTTTTGCTCTTGTCGCCCAGGCCAAAGTGCAATGGCATGATCTCAGCTCACTGCAACCTCTGCCTCCCAGGTTCAAGTGATTCTCCTGCCTCAGCCTCCTGAGCAGCTGGGATTAAAGGTGCCTGCCACCATGCCCGGCTAATTTTTGTATTTTTAGTAGAGATGGGGTTTCACCATGTTGGCCAGGCTAGTCTCAAACTCCTGACCTCAGCTGATCCACCTGCCTTAGCCTCCCAAAATGCTGGGATTACAGGTGTGAGCCACCATGCCCAGCCCAGAATAACTACTATTGAAGAGTCAAAAAAAAAAAAAAACCCAGATGTTGTCGAGGTTGCAGAGAAAAGGTAATACTTACAAACTGTTGATGGGAACGCAAATTAGCTTAGCCCCTGTGAAAAGAAGTTTAAAGATCTCTCAAAAAACTTAAAATATAATTACCATCTGACCCAGCAATCTCATTATGGGTATATACCCAAAGAAAAATGAATCATTCTAGGCCGGGCACAGTGGCTCATGCCTGTAATCCTAGCACTTTGGGAGGCCGAGGTGGGTGGATCATGAGGTCAGGTGACCAAGACCATCCTGGCCAACATGGTGAAACCCTGTCTCTACTAAAAATACAAAAATTAGCCAGGCATGGTGGCACACGCCTGTAGTCCCAGCTACTCAGGAGGCTGATGCAGGAGAATCGCTTGAACCCGGGAGGCAGAGGCTGCAGTGAGCCGAGATCGTGCCACTGCACTCCAGCCTGGGCGATGGAGCGAGACTGTGTCTTAAAAAAAAAAAAAAAAAGAAAAATCATTCTACCAAAAAGACATGTTTATTACAGCACTCTTCAAAATAGCAAAGACATGGAATCAACCTAGGTGCCCATCAATGGTAGAATGGATAAAGAACATTCAAAACATATACACCATAGAATACTACACAGTCATAAAAAAAGAACGAAATTATGTCCTTTGCAGCAATATGGATGCAGCTGAATTATCCTAAGTGAATTAACATAGAAACAGAAAACCAAATACCACATGTTTTCACTTATAAGTGGGAGCTAAACACTGGGTACACAGGGACACAAAGATGTCAGGACAACAGACACTGGAGATTCCAAAATCAGGGAAGAAGAGAGGAAAGTAAGAGCTGAAAAACTACCTATTGGGTACTATGTTCACTACTTAGATGATGGGGATCATTACAAACCCAAGCTTCAGTATCACATGAAATACCCATGTAACAAACCTGCACATGTACCCCCCTGAATGTTATTAGAGAGCCCATGGCACATCCTGGAACAGTCCAAGCAAGAGCCCTATCTACCCTTGACAAAAAATGACTGTGGTAGGGTCTTCACAATGGACATCAGAACTGATACAATTCTTTTATTATGTATCCAAAAAATTTAAATATATGCTAACTTTTTATAGAATAATTTGTAACTTTTACAAATTTAACTGCACATCTTTTCATCTAAAAATGTCTAGCTAAAACTTTTATTCATGTCTTATGTTTCCTATACTTCTTATATTCATGTCTTCTCATGCATATACTTGTATGTTAAATATATAAGGATTCATTTCAGATGCCTACAACATGAAATAAAGCAAAACAAAAACAAATCAACAAGAAATGATATAATTTTAAACTACATTTAACAGACTTGGAGGAAGTCTGTTTTCCAAAAGAGATCACAGTATGGTTCCAATCCAAATAAAAGAACTCCACCACAAGTGATGCCTTAAACGGAAGCTCATCTAGCAGTAAGAAATGGGCCAGTGAATACTGTTGGATCAGTCTCAACAGGAGACATTCATCTAGTTTATCCAATAAGATTTGTCTCTGTGTAACTTTCTACTGGTCTCCAGTTTATTGATGATCCGCCTCCCTTTCAGTTGCCTCCAAACCAGTTACCATTCTCACCATTTGGCGACTATCAGTAATATCAATGGACTAGCACACCAGCATTTTTTTAAGAGAATGAGGCATAGCCTATAATTATAATCTGTAATGATTTTTAGAGGATAAAATTACAGTCTCTTATTAACACCATAGATTGAGCAACTATGGCTGAATATGCAGTAAAGAGACATTTGTCCCTTTTCTATTTAAAGAAAGCTGAGTGGAGGAGGGTAAGATAATACACTTACTTATTCACACTTAAACTGCATTTGTGATCAAAGCTAGTCTAATAAAAAGAAAGTACTTTAAGTGCTTAGAAGGTGAAGGATCAATAGACAAATACAGTAAAACCTAACCATGATTTCACTGGGACTACTCTGCCTGATTTGTATATTCTTATCCAAACAATAAAAACTCCTAAAACTTGTTATTTAAAAAAAAAAAAAAAAAAAAAAGGATGGGTACTCTTATTGGGCTACTTGGCTTTTTATTTTCATTTGCCCTTTTTATCACCCCTTGCAAGCATCCAGTTCAATGTATAGAGTCATGTAACCACAAAACTATGGAACATTTCCATCACAGCAACAACAAAAAAGCATCCTTCTGCCCCCACATCAATCCCTCTACCCTCAATTTGTCCCCTCTCAGTTTTAAGGAATATAATTGTTATACCTCTTTCTAAGAAGTCAAACCTTTGAACATCTACTGCATTACTAAAATAGTTTATTATACTCCGTTTAAAAACTCAGTAAAGATAGTCTTACAGAGAGCCTAATAATTGATTCTAAGAATGAATTACAATTCAAGAGTCAAATAATTCACGTCTGAGTCTCAGTTCTTGAGGTAGCTTGTAGAGAGACTTAAGCAAGCCATCTACCATCTCTGGGCCTAAATGTTAATAATGTTTGACTTGTTCCCAAATAATATTACAATTCAGTTAAGGTCATTTGAAGTCATGCTTATAATAAACTGGAATTGTGTGTCATCTTTTCCTTGCTGTCCTCCTTCTTTTACCCCAAATTTCCTCACTCAAGAGTAGAATTTTGGTGGAATTGATCCCTCAGGCAAACCAAAACCGAAGTCAATCAGTCCAATATATTTCTCTAGCCTTCGTGATCAGTTCAGAGACTGGCATGTAACCTAAGCCAGGAAAATCAGAATGAACTCAAGATTTTTTTCTATGACGCTCAGATACAGAACATATTTTTCCCTAATAGATATAAATGAAGAAGGTGCTAGAAGCCGTAAAAATCTAATGGCCTCAAGGTGGCTGCCTTGGGATAAATTTGACACCACAGAAAGCAGAGTGCGAAAACTGAAAGAAACCAGGTCATTAATGAAGTTGTTGGACCACCTAATTAAGCTTTACCTGAAATCTATACTCCATCTGAACTTCTCTGTTTTTTGTTTTGCTTTGCTTTTTTAAGTACAGGGGTACAAGTGCAGGTCTGATATGTAGGCAAACTTGTGTTACGGGGGTTTGTTGTACAGGTTATTTCATCATCCAAGTATCTGGACTTTTCAATTACATATGTTGGTAGTTTTGTTTATTTCAATTTGAGGCTGGTTTTTAGTTACTTACAACTGAAAGTATAGGGACAGATGTAAATTGTCATTAGTTCATTTTGTGAATCTGTTTAATATGTAATGCATTTTTATTATAAAACTGTAATACAGACAAGATTATTAGTGCTCAATTTTTTTTTTTTTTTTTTTTTTTTTTTTTTTGAGACAGAGTCTTGCTCTGTCACCAGGCTGGAATGCAACAGTGCAATCTCGGCTCACTGCAACCTCCGCCTCCCAGGTTCAACTGATTCTCCTGCCTCAGCATGCACCACTATGCCCAGCTAATTTTTGTATTTTTAGTAAAGATGGGGTTTCACCATGTTGGCCAGGATGGTTTCCATCTCTTGACCTCGTGATCTGCCCTCCTCAGCCTCCCAAAGTGCTGGGATTACAGGCATAAGCCACCACGCCCAGCCTAATCTTAACACTACAGTTCCCCAATGGAGAACGGATGCAACATAGAACCTGATGAGTGATGCTATTAGGCTGAATCTTAACACTACAATTCCCCAGTGGAGAACGTATGCAACACAGACCCTGATGCATGATGTTATTAGGCTGCAATTGTCCAAAGCCTGCATGAAACTGGTTGCAGAAGTTGTGGCTGGTATAAGCAGTGAGGAGAAAGGAATTTAAATTAGCACAGGCTGGACGTGGTGGCTCACACCTGTAATCCCAGCACTGTGGGAGGCTGAGGCAGGTAGATGGTTTGAGTCCAGGAGTTCAAGGCCAGCCAGGACAACATGCCAAAACCCCACCTTTACAAAAAATTGGCTGGGCACAGTGGCTCACACCTGTAATCTCAGCACTTTGGGAGGCTGAAGCGGATGCATTGTCTGTGCACAGGAGTTCGAGACCAGCCTGGGCAACATGGCAAGACTCCATCTCTACAAAACTACAAAAATTAGCCAGGCGTGATGGCGCGTGCCTATAGCCCCAGCTACTAGGGAGGCTGAGGTGGAAGAATCCTTGAGCCCAGGAGGTTGAGGCTACTGTGAGCCATGAGTATGTACTGTGAGCCATGAGGTGGTACTGTGAGCTACTACCTCAAAAAAAAAAAAAAAGAAAAGAAAGAAAGAAAAAGAAAAATATAAAAAATCAAGCCAGGCATGGTGGTGCACACCCATAATCCCAGCTACCATGGAGACTGAGGTGAGAGGATCGCTTAAGCCTGGAAGGTCGAGGTTGTAGTAAGCTGTGATTACACCACTGCACTCCAGCCTTGGGTGACAGAGTAA